TCAAATTTAATTATAATGATGCAATCCCGCATCAAGGAGAAATCTTGTGAAAATCAGGTTTCCTATAGGGTAATTACCCTCAAGTACACAATTGCATGGGAAGGAGGCTGGAAAAAAGAAATTCCCGCGTGGACTACCGCAGGTCTTGTCCTAAACAAGCAAGCAACTCCAGGTCCGTTTTGTTTCCTAATTTGACGCGCCTCAAAAAGAAAAGTAATTCCAAGTGTTCCTTGTTTACTAAACTGACTCATCTCAAAGAGGAAAGTAGGCCTACCCGTAGGCACTTTACTAAATGGGATTATTACTAAGACAAAGCCAAGACAAGACAAGAGAGGGGGCTTAAGGCCCATAAGGGAATCAATGGGCTTGGAGAATCGCAAGTGAGATGGAGGGCAATTTTTGGCCCAAGGCGAGAAAGGATCAAGGCCTTTCGGGCAAAGGAGGGCGTGGCCTAGGATTACCACGCAAATGGGCAGCCGTCCAAGGCTTGCCGTGCCATTGGGCAGCCTTTCCTACATGTGCAAGCATGGGCTTGTGTGGGAGGAAAAGCTTGCACCCACAAGTGGCCCACACATATAAAGGGAGCTTGGTCGGGGGGGTGGCGCTCCCGCTCATTTGGGAGAGCTGTAGCCGAGATGGAACTCTTCCCTCTTCCTTTTTTATGCATGATTAAATCTGAAGGAGAATTCTACACCAAATTGAAGTCCAAGAAAGATAAAAGGCACATGGGAAATTCGGCCAGGAGAGAGGGGAGTCCTACTAAGTATTTAATTAATTATTTTATTCAAATTCTAGATTAAGATAAAATATTTTAACTATTATTTTATTGTTTAGATATTATCTATAGTATGATTTTAATCCTAAAATTAGGATAAGCTTAGGATTTAGGTACAGTTTAAATTAAATTCAAGTGTTTGTAACTATTTAGAATTATTGCGGTGGAAGCCTATATAAAAGCCTCACCTTAACATTCAATTCAGAATTCAGAAATAAAATTTCAGTTTCGTTCTTTACAATTAGCTTTGCTAATTTATGAGAGTGAAAGTTTTTCAAGTGAGATTGATTCAACCGTCTTGTTGAGTTGAGAATTTGAATCGATTTATCGGGTAAGTTGTGTCGTTTTTTCTATTCCTTTTATTTTAATTCCCAGTTAACTTGATTTGCATTCAAAATGTTGAATGTGGTTTGAGTAGGGAGAGTTTGATTAGGAAATTTAAGTTTCTGTTTGCTATTGTATATGTGAGTTCATGATCAAGGTGTTTTGATCTTGAAAGCCCCTCCGTCCGGTGGATGTTGAAAAAATGTAATTCATATGTAATTAAGCTTGAAGAATTAGTTTAAAGGACAATCTGATAAAATACACCATATATATAATTAATTGCCGGTTTCCTTTCTTGCTCTAGAAAACTTGGATATGCAAGGTCATATTATTCAATAATAAAGACAACACATTATTCTTAACATAGTATTAAAGCTTTATAAAAAAGAAAATACCTTAGTTTTTTTCACAAACCTTAATTGGCTTTAATCGCCAAAATAAGAAAACACAAAACCCTAATAGAGCCAGCCTTAATAGCCGGCCACCACTACCGTAGCTGCCAACCTTCTAGCTGGAAAACCAGCCTTAATACCATGTCAAGAATGTTAATGTATATTTTATGAGTATTATAACTCTATATATACAAGTTTTCTAGGGTGAAAAAGGAAATAAATAATGAATTACAACTAATTACAAAAGGTGGAATTTACTCTTAATCTTTTTGATCTAATTTACCATTTTTTTTAACTATTGACATATTATGCAGTTCCTATATAGGAAAATATATAAGAATTTCATTATTATCCGCAATGGGTTTGTGGCTGGATGTAACATCAGAATCTTTACTTAGTGTGTTGACCCCAAGCATTTTATTTGGATAGAATTATTTGCATGGTCTTTTTGTGGGTTATGGCACATGCTATTTTTGCAGTTGACTGCGCCAATTATGTGAAGCAATTGGGAGGCTATTTTATGTTGATGTCTCCCCCTTTTTTGGTGTTTTGTTTTCTTTTGCCGGTAGGAGAATATTTTACCCTCTATCTATGTAAGCTTTTGCTCTTAACAATTTCCATTTCCGTTTTACCAAAAAATGCTAGGCAGGAGATATCAGGAATCTGGAATTGAAAGCACAAAGAATTCATCCTCTGGCTCTGCTTGCAAATGAGCTAAGATTGGTTGCTAAGAGAGAGTTAAATGTTTTTGGCCCTGTGCTGCGAGATTTCTTTCCAGACTGTATGACAATCTCAGCAATGTTAGTGCACAAGTTTTATGGGGAAAGACTGGTTCGTGTTTGTGCTTTTGTCTCTTTCTTTTAAGTGAAATTGTTTCTTTCTTGCAATTGGTATATTTTATGCCATATCTTTATTAGAATATTATTTACTTTCGATATGCAGAGACCCTTCCTTAGGGGAGTGTCATCTTTATCTGAAGATGTTAGATCTGTGCTTCCTGCTGCTGATATGTTGGATCAAGACCTGACTCAGCTATATAATTCCGTTGAGCAAAATAAGTTGCACAGTCCCTTGTACCAAAATCTGGACCATTATAAGGTTAGTTTTAATTAGAAATAGTAAGAGAGAAATTAACATGGCAAAAACAACTATGCAGGAATAAATTTTCTGTTTGCACTGTGTTGGAAGTTTATTATGGGTACAGATATGTGATATTTTTCTTTTCT